AAATAGCCAATTATGACAAAGTTACATCACAGTGACAGTATGCCTGCTGCGTGAAGACCGCGAAGACTTGGCCGAATGACGAGGTCAGCTAGGCCATATATACTCATTTCAGTAAAATGCAAAATGTAATTTGCAAATCCTCCTTTATAATCCGAGTTAAACATGGGGTCCATAATCTTACTTGTTGTGCATGGGTCAGATCTAGGTCCGGGGATAATTTCTAAATGTCACCGTCTAAACGAAATTATAGTACTTAGAGTAACAATAGTAAATCTAGCTTAAAAGACCAGTTCTCACGTTCAGCGGTAGTACGATGACGGGAAGATGTGCCAGTTTATTAGCTGTTTGCAACTTTCTTTCAACTTTCCTCATGCTTTATCCGTTTTATTTCTTTTTTCTCCGGCTGCCAGCAGACTTTTCCTGTTGTTTCGATATTATCGCTGCTGTTTATCTCTCTACTGGCTGCCCATTTCTCCTTTGGGTTTCAAACCCAACTTCTACAAACTGTTCTGTTTGTAATTTCCAGCTGTAGAGAGCGTTGCGCGGGTTATAAGCCACCGTCTAGCTAGACTTATAATTTATTTCATCATGGATGTAAGTGAATGTTCAACATCCGGGAGTAATGAGTATTGAAAAAGAGGGCTGGTCTGGCATCGAAGCTACCTGTCCGTTAGTTCTTCTCTATATACCATAAAATGTGTAGCAAATCTACTAATTTCCCAAAATTCGGGCTATTAAAAACGAAAAAATAGGACCAATTTGCGTAATTCACCTAGCATGTCTTGTGTCATCTTGTAAGTCAAGGCCTAGTTTACAAGGAGGCAAAACAAAGTATACATGATGCACAGCGATGTTTGATAAGAGAGTCAGTCCCTCACACATCCACAAGAGCTGTCTGTGGAGACAACCAATTTCTTAAGGTCGGATCCGGTTAAAGGGCCTGATGCTTTAAGCAAACCACGACTCCGAAGCCGGCATCCGGCTGAATAAATAAGTGTACACAGATGTTTGGACAAATGTATTATGGGCACGTCAAAACAAAACCAAATGCCCCGTTTTCCGCGCGTTGCTTACGCCCTTGTGCTCAAACTGAACGATCCGCCATTTCAAGCTTCATTTTTTCTCGGTATGCAACTTCGGAGGTGGGAATGTCATTCCTGATTTGCCAAGGCAGTGTCTGCGCCACTGCCGCTGGAAATCCGCAGTGCTCATAGACTCGTAACTTCGAGTCGCTCAAGGGCGAAAACATTCGGCTAAGGAACTGAATATCTGTTAACAGAGCTCAGGACACGCTTTTTCAGTTATACCGTGTAGCAGCACGTGGGTAAATCCGATGTTTGAGTACCAGTCTGCCACCGAAATTAGGATCTATGTACTCACAAACCAGGAGCGGAGTTTTGCCACTTCTTTCAAAATAGGTCTCTTAAAGAGCGGTCTTGCCACCGTAGACGAAATGCATTGTATGTTTAGAGACGATTGTCGGCGGTCAGTACAACTTACATGACCTATCTTATGAAACACCTTGATTCTCTGTCGCAGTCTTCTGACCTTAAATTAACTTTTCGATTTCGTCGAAAGTCACTGTGTACTTCAGTTCCATTTACATTATTTAGCAAAATGTTGTCGGAATGGAAATAACTGGCTGTTATTTTGACTTGGATTGTCTACGTCCTTGACTGCCGAACTACGCCACTGCCATTGCACTATAAAGCATCTGGGAAATATCACTTATTACGAGGACAGTACACGTGGTGAATCCGCTCCAGGAATCACATCATCCCAGATAAATCAAGACGGAGTCCGAGGCCATGTCACGCCCTCGACACGCGTCGGGTCTCTCAGGACGCACGCGCCGGGCCGAGGTCACGGTTGCACGGGCCAAACCATGTGCCGACCACGTGATGACGAAACGTATATGCCGCTCACGTGACGAATCACGTGACTGACGCAATCACGTGGTTGACTCTCGGCGGCCATTCGGTCCCAGTCACTTGCGCACCAGCCCCGAGGATTCTGACTCAGTTTGCTCTTACTATCCGGCCCCACGGTCAAATTGCATCTATTTGACAGCATACGAGTTCGGATCCAACGACTGACTCCGCATTGATCACACTCTGCGCGTGTCTATGCATGTGCCGGTTAGATGCCACAACAAATTATTAACTGTTTGACAGTTTGAAACGGAATATTAATTGCCATTCATGTCTGGTGCAGCATATTTACCCAATTTTATAGGTCAAAATTCCGTAATTTATAAAAGTTCATCTATTTCCAGCACATATGGGCATTTTTCGCAGACTAAGAAGAATGCTTCAGGACTAAGCTAACCGGAAAAGGACACTGCTGTCGACAACCATGGAGTTAATCAGCAACCCTTAAAAATGCCCACCTATTCAACCTTCTCCCCCTCAGGTAGTCGTCCGAAATTCTATTCATGTGTATATCAGTTGTCCTTGGCCACCTTTATTCCAGCAGTACGGTTCGTTGTTTAATTGGCCATGAAGTCATAGTGCATGCAGTCCATTGCGAATAAGTTAATTGAGTGGACTAGAGCGCTTAGGAATATCCTCACACGAGAAGGTGGCTAAATTAGTGGGGCTGCCGTGGCTATACAGAATTTGTGAAGGCTCATTTAAACCGTGCGA